TGTGAAGTATTTTGATGGGATTTTGATGGGGATTGCATTGAATCTATAGATTGCTTTTGGTAGAATTGCCATTTTTACTATGTTGATCCTCCCAATCCAAGAGCAAGGGAGGTCTTTCCATTTTCTGGTGTCTTCTTCAATTTCTTTCTTCAAAGACTTATAGTTCTTGTCAAGTAGATCTTTCACTTCCTTGGTCAGGGTTACCCCAAGGTATTTTATGCTCTTTGTGGCTATCGTGAAAGGTGATGCTTCTCTGATTTCCCTCTCTGCTTCCTTATCCTTAGTGTATAGGAAGGCAACTGATTTTTTGGAGTTGATCTTGTATCCTGCCACATTACTAAAGCTGTTTATCAGCTGTAGGAGTTCTTTGGTAGAATTTTTGGGGTCGCTTATGTACACTATCATATCATCTGCAAATAACGAAAGCTTAACTTCTTCCTTTCCAATACGAATCCCCTTGATCTCCTTATGTTGTCTTATTGCTATTGCTAGAATTTCAAGCACTATATTGAAGAGGTATGGAGAGAGTGGACATCCTTGTCGTGTTCCTGATTTAAGTGGGATGGCTTTGAGTTTTTCTCCGTTTAATTTAATGTTAGCTGTTGGCTTGCTGTAAATAGCTTTTATTATATTTAGGTAGGACCCTTGTATCCCTATTCTCTCCAAGACCTTTATCATAAAGGGGTGTTGAATTTTGTCGAATGCTTTTTCAGCATCTAGTGAAATGATCATATGGTTTTTTTCTTTCAGTTTATTTATATGGTGGATTACATTGATAGATTTGCGTATGTTGAACCAGCCCTGCATCTCTGGGATGAAGCCTACTTGATCATAATGGATAATTTTTCTTATGTGTTCTTGGATTCGGTTTGCCAGTATTTTATTGAAAATTTTTGCGTCGATGTTCATGAGTGAGATCGGTCTGTAATTCTCTTTCTTGGTTGGGTCTTTTTGTGGTTTTGGTATCAGGGTAACTGTAGCTTCATAAAAGGAATTTGGCAATGACTCTTCTGATTCTATATTGTGAAATACATTAAGGAGTATAGGTATTAGTTCTTCTTGGAAGTTCTGGTAGAATTCTGCATTGAAACCATCTGGTCCTGGGCTTTTTTTCGAAGGGAGATTTTTGATAACCATTTCTAATTCTTCGCGAGAAACCGGTCTATTTAGATCATTCACCTGGTCTTGGTTTAGCTTTGGTATGTGGTACTTATTTAAAAAAATGTCCATTTCTTTTGTATTTTCTAGTTTTGTGGCATACAGGCTTTTGTAGTAAGATCTAATGATTCTCTGAATTTCCTCTGTGTCTGTGGTTATGTCCCCCTTTTCATTTCTGATCTTATTTATTTGCGTGTTCTCTCTCTGTCGTTTAATTAGTTTGGATAGGGGTTTGTCGATCTTGTTGATTTTCTCCAAGAACCAGCTTTTTGTTTCATTGATTCTTTGGACTGTTTTCTGTGTTTCTATTTTGTTGATTTCAGCCCTCAGTTTGATTATTTCCAGTCTTCTACTTCTCCTGGGCGCGTCTGCTTCTTTTTTTTCTAGAGCTTTCAGGTGTGTTGTTAATTCCCCAATGTATGCATTCTCCGTTTTCTTTAAGTGGGCACTTAGTGCTATGAACTTTCCTCTTAGCACTGCTTTCATTGTGTCCCATAGGTTTGAGTATGTTGTCCCTTTATTTTCATTAAATTCAAGGAAGACTTTAATTTCTTTCTTGATTTCTTCCTTGACCCAGGTGTGGTTCAGTAGTTGACTGTTCAGTTTCCATGAGTTTGTCGGTTTTTTGGGGGCAGCGTGGTTGTTGCCTTCTAATTTTAATCCGTGATGATCTCATAAGACACAGGTGGACACTGATATTTTTTTGTATCTGTGGAGGTTTCCTTTGTTTCCGAGTATGTGGTCAATTTTTGAGAAGGTTCCATGAGCTGCAGAGAAGAAGGTATATTCTTTCCTATTTGGGTGGAATGTTCTATAGATGTCTGTTAAGTCCATTTGCTTCATTACCTCCAATAATTCTCTTAATTCTCTATTAGGTTTCTGTCTGATTGACCTGTCCCTTGGAGAGAGAGGTGTGTTGAAGTCTCCTACTACTAGTGTGTGTGGTTTGATGTCTGCCTTGAGTTCTAGTAATATTTCTTTTACATAAGTAGGTGCTTTTATATTGGGGGCGTATATATTCAGGATTGAGACCTCCTCCTGATGAATTGTTCCTGTTATGAGTATAAAGTGACCGTCTCGGTCTCTTCTGATTGATTTTAGTTTGAAGTCAGTTTTGTTAGAAATTAGTATGGCCACACCTGCTTTTTTCTTAGGACCATTTGCTTGAAACACCTTTTCCCAACCCTTTACTCTGAGTAGGTGCCTGTCTTTGTGGTTGAGATGTGTTTCTTGCAAACAGCAGAATGTTGGATCCTGTTTTCGTATCCAATCTTTTAGCCTGTGCCTTTTTATAGGTGAATTGAGCCCATTAATATTAAGTGATATTAATGACCAGTGGTTGTTTACTCCGGTTATTCTTATTGCTTTTGGTAGTAGAGATTGTCTCCCTTCTTTGAGATGTGCTCGTGAAGGGTCATTAGATGCCTGGGTTATTGTAGGCAGTGTTGGCAGTGTTGGATTCCTTGGGTTGCGATTTTCCTTCTATTACTTTCTGTAGGGCTGGATTTGTGGCTACGTATTGTTTAAATTTGTTCTTATCCTGGAATGTTTTGTTTTCTCCATTGATAATGAATGATAGCTTGGCTGGGTATAGTAGTTTGGGTTTGCATCCATGGTCTCTTAGCTTCTGCAGAACCTCTATCCAGGACCTTCTGGCTTTCATAGTTTCCATCGAGAAGTCAGGTGTAAGTCTGATCGGTTTACCTTTATAAGTTACTTGCCCTTTTTCTTTTGCAGCTCTTAATATTTTTTCTTTAACCTGTATATTTTGTGTTTTGATTATTATATGGCGAGGAGATGTTTTTCTTTGATCCAGTCTGTTTGGTGTTCTGTATGCTTCTTGAATATTTAAGTGAATATCTTTCTTTAAGTTGGGAAAGTTTTCTTCCATAATTTTGTTGAAAATATTTTCTGGGCCTTTGAGCTGTGACTCTTCTCCTTCTTCTATTCCTATTATTCTTAGGTTTGGTTTTTTTATTGTGTCCCATAGTTCCTGAATGTTTTGTGTTGAGAATTTGTTGGCTTTGCTGTTTTCTTTGATCTGTTCGTTTATTTTCTCTATGGTGTCCTCAGCATCTGAGAGTCTTTCTTCTAGCTCTTGTACTCTATTGATTATGCTTGTTTCTGTAGACTCTGCTCGTTGGCCTAGATTTTCCATATCCAGCTGGTCCTCAGTTTGTATTTTCTTCTTTGCCTTCATTTCAGTTTTCAATTCTTGAACTGTTTCCATTACCTGTTTGATGGTTTTTTCTTGGTTTCCCAGGGTATCATGTACGTATTTACTCATTTCTTCAAACTTTTTGTTATACTTCTCATCCATTTCTATAAGGGCATTTTTTACATGTTGTTTAAGGGACTCTATTATCTTCATAAAGTCGATTTTTTCCATTTCTTCTGTGTTAGGTTGTTCAAATACTTCTGTTGTAAGATCATTGGGTTCTGATGTTTTCATGTTGTTTTTCGGATTATTGGGAGAATTCTTGCCTTGGCGCCTGCCCATCTCCTCCTATTGATCCTATCCAATGGGTCCTTTAAAAACCGGATCAGGTTTCCCTGCTGGCCAAGGGCTCCGCTTACAAAATGCCCTCACTCTCTTTCGTGGTTCCTGCTGCAGGCCAAGAACCCTCTCACCCCTCTGAAGGATCTTCAGGACAGGACCAGGCTCCCCTTGTGCCAGTGACCTGGCCAACCAAAGGCCTACCTCTTTGATTCGATTGTAGTAGGGCGATCTGCTCTCCTTATTGCATGCCTGTTCCCGCCGCTTGGGTCTGCCTCTGCGCTGGTCCCCGAAAGCCTCTTCCTGTATGCGGTGTTGCTCCGCCGCGTCTGGCCGCCGCCGCTCCGCCGCGTCTGGCCGCCGCCGCTCCGCCGCGTCTGTGGTCCATGTGAATTTTAAATTGTCTTTCTACCTTGTGCTGGTGCATTAAAAATGCTGAATGTGTAATTGCACAAGGACATCTCCTCTACTATTGCTAAGTGTAGGTAAATACCTGGAACATTGCAGACATCAAATGAATGCTAGATGCTTTTCTTCATAATAATACTATGCTCCATTAACATCCTCTCTTCATTGTGTTTAATATTTCATCGAATATTTATATACTTTATATGAATGTAAATGATTAACTTATTGCTTTTTAATTCTTTTTTTCTCTAATCTCTAAAATTTTCATCAAAGTATTTTTTTGGTACATCCATCTTTTCCTAAACAAAACTAATTCTAAAATATTTTAATTTTTCTCTGCATGGTATAGTCTGTATTCCCTTGCCAAGTCAATGTCTTATTTCAATACTAAATTTATTTTCTCAATAGAATTGTTTTTAAAAAAATCTAGTGCTATAGTATATCGAGCAAATTAATAATTATCAGGTAAATAGTTACTTTTAAAATTGTGTTTCAGTTTTGGTGAGGAATGTAAGTTCCATATCATGAGCTTAGTGCCTTGTTGAATTCTGAAGGTGAGCATTTTTCTAATTCTGCTTTTAGGCTTGATTGTTTATCATATGTGACTATATAATATGTACAGAAGAGTTGATCTCAAGAGCAGGCAAATGGTTTTCTATGAAAATATACTGGTTTGGGGGAACACAGGGGCGTTTAAGGCAAGTTTTATCAGTGTAACAATCCCAGCTTTCATGGGACTCATTGTGCAGCCGGCTGTCCTCAAATTCACCAAGACCAACCTGCCTCTGTCTCCAGACTGCTGGGAGTAAAGGCATACACCACCACACCCAGCAGAAAATATACCAGTTTTTAATTTTTCTCTTAAGTTTAACTGAATTCAAAATAGGAAATTCAGCTGTGTTCTCTTATGATGTCTCATTATTGTTATCGATTTTAGCAAGACATTCCTGAGAATATTCTGGAAAATGGTGCAGATGACTTACCAATGGCTTCCGAGCAATACAGAAATGTAGAAGCCCAAGAAGGTAATGCACACACTTTACTTGTAAGATCATTAGACAGGGCTATGTTTAAAACACGATCACTAATTTCATATTAACTAAAACAGAAGTGAAATAACAATAAGTTAGCCCACAACAACTTTCACTCAAAAGTTGAAATAAGAATTCAGTAAAAGAGTTGCCCTTTATTTTATTTTGTTTTATTAATATATTTTTAGTTTCTGAGAATTTCATACCTATGTATTGTATTTACATCATTTTCACCCTTCCCACTATTCTTCCAACATTCTCTGTGCCCCAAACACACCTCAAATTTGTGACACAGTATCTGTGTTGATACTGTTGCTATAGACACACACGTGTGTGTCGTTGTAGTGTTGCTTATTTCTACACTTGTTTAGTGCTGACTTCTGGAATTTCATAACCTCTCACAGAGATCAACTCTGGAAAGAAATCAAATGATTTGTGCTCTGTGAGCTCCTGGTTGTCTACAGCTCTTCATCTAGGGATTGTGTCTTGTGAGATTTCCTTCTGACATATTGGCCTATGAACTAGTGTTGTCCTTATGCAGGTGTTCATTAAAAATCAAACTCTTGAAATTTCATGGTAGCACCATCCAAGTCATGCATAGAAGTTTCCATGTAGCAGCTAAAGCGCTGGACCTCTGATTTTTACAATCTATCCGCACCTACTTTTGCTATTTTCCCTTTGCCTTCGATTTAAGGCTGTGTAGGTGGGGGCTGGGCACCTTATGGTCACTTCTTGTACTTTGACTAACTGGAGATATTTGTAATACCTGTCTGCTGCTTAAATGAACTTCTCTAATGAGAAATAAGACTTAACAATTATTTGTGGATGTAACTATGGCTCTAGGAATCACATTTAGAACACAGTAACTACGCTGATATAAGAAAATGATACAGCCAGGCGGTGGTGATGCCCGCCTTTAATCCCAGCACTCGGGAGGCAGAGGCAGGCGGATCTCTGGGAGTTCAAGGCCAGCCTGGTCTACAAGAGCTAGTTCCAGGATGGGCACCAAAGCTACAGCGAAACCCTGCCTCGAAAAACCAAAAAAAAAAAAAAAAAGAAAGAAAGAAAAAAAAAGAAAATGATACTGTAGGTTATTCTTACGGTCAATGATTTCTTCAGTCATCAGTACTTGACTAGATTTACAGAACCAGTCATGAGTTGCTCATTGACTGAGCCTTAAAACCAAGGATACAGCTGTTGTTACTCCAAAAATTAAAATACCATTATCACACCTTGGGTACCTTTTTCTGCTGGCGGGATTATTGACTGCCTATTACTCTTGGTGTTTTGCACAGCACTATGAGAGCAGTCAAGTCAGTTCCAACTCATTTCCTCCAAATCTTACATCTGAAGTTTGTAGCTTCTTTAGTAACAGGGTCTTACATTAAAATTATTTTGCTCATTGCAATGAAGACAATAAATTATTTCCCAGTTCTTGTGTGTGTGTGGGTATGCTTGCAAGCACATAATGAATGTATTTAAGTCTATGACATATTAAGTTATGAATTTTAGAAAGTGTGGTAATTTATGTGATATTTATTAATTTCTAGGTGAAATTGGTCAATTATTTATGTATCTTGAACCTGGCAATATGTAGTGTTATATACTAATATAACAAATGATATACTAATATTTCTATAATTAGCACATTTATATAAGATTCTAAATATTAATCTATAGAATATATTTAATTGAAATACTTGAATAATTTTTTCTAAATTCAATATATTTTAATATATTATCATAAAACATTTTATCTAACTGCGGCTTTTATTGTATTTTTTAATTTACTGTATGGATTTGTCAGAAGAAGCAGAAGTAGAAACAATACCGAATTTAAAGCTGGAAAATGAAAATGTTTGCAATAAGAATGAAGGCTATCAACAATTGGTACGTTACTGTTTAAATTGAAATTTCTTACTTAGTACTGTTTGGTTTAATGATATTACCATAGGACAAAGTAAAGTGCATATCAGGCTTTTATGTGCAATCACTAGATTATAATTTAATATTAAAATAAAAGGCTTTATCTACTACAAAACACATAGTATTCTTAGAATCTAGTCCCACAGGTAATCATTTTCTTATGTTGTTCAGTAAATTATTATGTGATTATTATCCATGTTTTATGTTAAGCTTTTTACATGGCTGGAGATCCTCATGACTCTACATTTAAAATAGTGGGTTTTATAAACTAAATTTGTGGTATAATGATTACACTCAATCATGCAAAGGAGTAAAAATGTTTTCTTTATGGTCATTGGATTATTTCCAGGTCCTCATTTTGAGTAGATAAATTAGTCATATAGTTAACTAAAGTGCCTATTAAAAGAATGTTTGCTTCCACAATGGGGGCCTAATTGTGAAGGAACAAAGAAAATATTTTACTCAATCCAATGGAGAAAAAACTTATTTCCTAATTCTATTCCAAAGTCCATCATGAATATGTATATATTAGGAATTGAATTAATGTAGAGAAATTCTCAAAGATTCAAGACGCTATTTATTTCCCATTTCCGGGATCTTTCCAAGGACATAACACAATACCATACTCACTGCAGTATGAAAACATTCGAAAGATATTTTTAAAACTTTGAACTTACATAAAGCTTTATAGTGACTATCTAGTATCTGCTGAGAAATTAAGCACTGACTCTTCCAGATGGAAGCCAATGCTATAGTGATAGAACATAAAGCATGGAAAAAGCAACTGTTTTGGGTCAGATGGGTACATTTTGATTCATACAGAATAGGAGCATTTATGGTATGGTGTTATCAGAGATCAAAGCATGAAGGCCGAGATGTCTTAAAAGATGAGTGTGAGTCCATGTCAATTCAGATAACATTTCTGAGCACATAGAATAATGGACATCTTCTCATAACTTGTAAAGTTCTCTTGTATGATGAGAAATCTAGGTTTGGTTATTCTTGAGAACATGTAAGAAATGTGGCAATTATGTATTTGGAGATTATTTCTGTTGATTGAGGAACATTTGCATACAGTACCTACTTTGTATTACAACACTATTGTTTAAAACTGATATAGAAAAATATTTCGGTCTTCTTTATCATTTTGTTCAAGTTTTTTTCTATCTATAAGAAATTATATGTCAGTTCTGTTGGATCTATTTACTGAAATTAAGCATCTTCTGCCTTATTTCCTTCACATGTAACATGGCATAATATAAATACATTTAACATGATACTTATCTTCAATTAGTTCTAACCACAAACAGTCATAGTTATAGCATTTCATGTTAATCTTGTACTAAAGGAGTGGCCCTATTAAGAATACAACACTTATTTCATAAACATCCTTCAACTTTACTATGAAGTAAAAATTACTTTGATATATTGTAATATGAAAATAATTGTCTTTATTAATATATTCACACCAGAGATCACTTTGTCTACAAATGCATTTCCTCTTTTATAGTCCTTGTATATAATGGGTTACCATGAGAAATGAAAGATGAACTTAAACTTGAGTATATATATATAAGATTTCCCATTCAAATATCATGGTCTCAAAGATGTACTGCATATATTGTCAAGTACAATTCTCTTATAGTCAAAAATTAAGGTATATTCATAGAAAAAAAAGACCTTTCTAATACTCATTACTAATACCATTTGACAGAGTGTTTTTGACCCTAATCTACTGGAGGAAGCTTCCAGAAAAGCTGACCAATCATGTAGAAATGATACAGGAAAAAGTGAAATAAACCAAGGTAAGAGTCATCATGAAGATTTTATGTAAGACAAATGCTATCTTTTGGATCTGGATTATCTCATTCAGGATGATTTCTTTTAGTTCCATACATGTACCTGTAAATCTCATAATTTCCTTTTTTATTAATTTTTTATTTTTATTGAGCTACACATTTTTATCCACTCCCCTCCCTTCCTTGCCTCTCCTCGTCTACCCTCTCTCATGATACTCCCATGCTCCCAATTTACTCAGGAGATTTTGCCTTTTTCTCCTTCCTCTGTAGATCCTATGTATGTCTCTCTTAGGGTCCTCCTTCTTGCCTAGTTTCTCTGGGGTTGTGGACTGTAGGCTGGTTTTTCTTTGCTTTATGCCTAAAAGCCACTTAAGAGTGAATTCATATTATATTTGTCTTTCTAGGTCTTTGTTACCTCACTCAATCTGTTTTTTCCAGATTTATCAATTTTCCTGCAAATTTCAAGACATTATTTTTTACCACTGAGTAATACTCCATTGTGTAAATGTACCACATTTTCCTTATCTGTTCTTTGGTTGAGGGCCATCTACGTTGTTTCCAGGCTCTGGCTATTACAAATAATGTTGCTATAAACATAGTTGAGCAAATGCCCTTGTGGTATGATTGAGCATCATTTGGGTATATATTCAACAGCAATATTGGTGGGTCTTGGTAGGCAGATTGTTTACTAATTTTCTTAGAAATTGCCATACTGATTTCCAAAGCAGCTGTAACGTTTGCACTCCCACCAGAAATGGAATAGTGTTCCTGTTACCCCACAAGGTGGAATCTAAGAGTTTCTTTGATTTCTCTGATTGCTAAGGATGTTGATCATTTCCTTAGGTATCTTACAGCCATTTGATATTAGTCTGTTGAGAGTTCTCTGTTTAAGTCTGTACCCCATTTTTATTGGATTATTTGTTCTTTTGATATCAAGTTTCTTGAGTTCTTTGTATATTTTGGAGATCAGTCTTCTATCTGATGTGGGGTTGCTGAAGATCTTTTCCCAATCTGTAGGCTGACGTTCTGTCATGTTGACCGTGTCCTTTGCTTTACAGAAGCTTCTGTTTTAGGAGGTCTCATTTATTAATTGTTCCTCTCAGTGTCTGTTTTACTGGGTTATATTTAGGAAGTGATCTCCTGTGCCAGTGCGTTCAAGTGTACTTCTGTTGACTGAGGTTTCTGTCCTGCCCGGTCCCATAGCCATTCAGTCCCAAAGAAACACACACAGGTCTACATTAATCATAAACTGATTAGTCTATTAGCTCAGGCTCCTTATTAACTCATACAATTTATATTAGCCCATAATTTTTTATCTGTGTTACTCACAAGGCTTGGTACTTTTTTATTGATTTTTATTGATCTTTATATTTTTCTCTAATCCCCTCCCTGCCTCTTCCCTCCCCTTCAACCCTCCACCAAGGTCCCCATGCTTCTAATTTACTCAGGAGATCTTGTCTTTTTCTACTTCTCATGTATATTAGATCTATGTAAGTTTCTCTTAGTGCCCTCATTGTTGTCTAACTTCTCTGGGATTGTGATTTGTGGGCTGGGTTTTGTTTGGTTTTGTTTTATGTTTTAAAACCACTTATGAGTGAGTACATGTGATACTTGTCTTTCTATGTCTGGGTTACCTCAATCCAAATGATGCTTTCTAGCTCCATCCATTATTGTCTGCAAATTTCAAAATGTCGCTATTTTTTCTGCTGTGTATACTCCATTGTGTAAAAGTACCACATTTTCCTTATCCATTTTTTGGTTTAGGGGCATTTATGTTGTTTCCAAGTTCTGGCTATGACAAACAATGCTGTTATGAATATCGTTGAGTACATGTCCTTGTGGCACTATTGAGGATTCTTTGGATATATACCCAGAAGTAGTATTACTGGGTCTTGAGGAAGGTTGTTTCCTAGTTTTCTGAGAAATTGCCACATTGACATCCAAAGGGGCTGTACCAGCCTGTATTTCTACCAGCAATGCAGAAGTGTTCCATTTACCCCACAACCTCTCCAGCATAGGTTT